ACCTAGCAAATTGAAATAATTACCTTATCTAATTTCTAAGAGGGGAAACAAATTTTATGGATTATTTAACCAATGAACAAAACTGAAAACAACATTAATTTATTCAATTTTTATTTTTGATTTCAGATGCGTCTGATCAATGGTGTATATATTAATAAAACGTCGTTACCTATTCGGGTTCGGGTGGGATTTTTTGGACCAGAAGTTACTAAGAAGTTGTACATTTACTACTGGCCTACTAAAGTCCCAACTGAATGAAAAGGTATTTCGTCCAATGCACCCTGTGTCCAATCGATTCGATTTAATAAACTCGAATTCAAACACTCAACGCACAGCCAGTCAGCCAGCCATCCAAATGGAATAGGTCAATGCAATGCAGAAAATGTGCTGGAAACCATAAGAATTATTAGAGATGGTATCTCTGTGTGCGGCAAAATGATGATTAAAATGTGTGTTACGGCTTGTAATAAATAAATGTGTGTAGAACATTTGCCATTTTCTGTGCAATACATAGCAACAAAATTTATTGGTCATTTATTCGATACACGATTTTCTACCGATAATTGTTGCGATACTCAATTTGCGATGCCAATCAATCGAATTGAATCATCGTCGCGCATTCAATTTTATTCGAACGGATTCTTTTTTTTTTTTTGCAAAATTGCATGAAATCGATTTATTGTATTTTGCACACAGTTGGAATTTTTTTGTGACATTTACGTGCTTTTTTGCATATTACGTGACCAATGCGTGTTATTACATGCAAATCGTAAGTTAACATCACCATTACTACAGATCACACAAATAATGCATAACTTATAATGACGTAATGCCCTTGAAAATTCCAAATATTGGCAAAACCCAGCAAAGAACCAAATCAACAGCATTCGATGGAACATTTTACCAATGTCCATTTAAGGCGAAACGGTTACCTTTACATTTAAATTACATGTCGAACGAATGGTATATTCACAAAGATGGAGACAGATATTCCAAACCACATTGGCCATCCACTTCGGGGAGGAGATCACATGACAAACAAATCGTTCGTATATTATAAGGTATAATAAACTACATGTGACATTACATTTAATTTTGATACACTTCAAATAGATACAATCAGCAAATTGCGAAGAAATTTTTCAATATAGAGAGAGAGAGGGGTAATGAAAATCTTTATCGATCTTATTCGAATCACAGAGATGTTTTCCGAAATCATCTAAACTAAAAAGTTACCCGTTTTGAAATGTAATCGAACATATGAATCTCTCTTCTTCTTTTTTTAGTTATTAAATATTAAGACATTTTGTGTTATAGATACTACCGACTGTCACTTTGGGAGTGATCATCATAGAGGCCAGTTATCGACTTGAAAATAATAAACTGGTTTGAAATCACGAAGCGTTTTCTACATCTTTGTTACATGGATCGATCGGTGAACACAATTCGTGTAGCGGTATATTAGCCGATATCATCGACATGTGTATCTATCAAACGAATAATATTGTTCAAGCGAACAGATCACGGTGATTGAGCATTACGTTTTGGTGATACATACACCCATTGTGTGACTTGAAGCTTCCGTGACACTTTCCTTTATTTTATTTTATTTTATTTCATTTGCAGCTTTCGCAATTTAGACGATTCTGTTGAGCGTGTTTTTTTGTTGTTGTTGTTGAAGCAGCCAATCACGAGCACTAAACGATCGAAAAGCATATCCCGATAGATTGTCAATTACTCTTGCAACTCTCGTTGACCAAAAACGGGAGTCGATTTTTATTGATTCGACCAATGGTGTAACGCTTTTGACTTTCGACGTTCTCTCTACTCTCTTGTTTCGATGACATTGAGGTTGATTGTTCCAGTGATTGGCTTCGATTTGATAGAACTTTTGCAGAAATGAACATATTTGCCAAGTTATGTGCGCACACTTACCGTATCAATTATTTTTAATTGAATTGTCATTAACGACATCGATGTTTTTTCATGTCAGATATGTCATCACCCTATTTTCTGCGGGCCCGTGTTCACGGAACGCAACAAGTTGTGTGTGTTTTTCCCTTAGCATTGAAACGTGATATAAGGTCTTTCTTTTTAGTTTACGCGTGCACTGGTTCAGAGCAATAGATTGTTTAAAGTAGATTATGAGCGTTGTTTTTTAAATCAAAAAGTTCGATCAAATCGATCGGTAAGATCAAATAGATTTAATGGCGTCTGAGTTTGTAGTAGAGAGCGAGAAGAGATATAAAGTTGTTTCTTGAAATGGTACTTATGAAGGACATACGCGTCCTTCTATCTACGTATAGAGAAAGGAATTAAATCTTCAAATTTATATTGTTACATTTTTTTTATTCTTTTATTCACTCAGTTCCATCATCATTGTTAAAATAGGTTCACATAGAGATTGTTTGATTTGTGTTCAATACAATGTTGTGTATGCAATGAAAGGACAAAGATTAAACAATTCAAAAATGTTATATATTTTTTTCTCACCATTTGCCGACAAAAATGTATTCGACAAAAAGTATGAATCAATGAATTCGAATCATATCTTTTTAATGACTATAGTTTTGTTGTCGTTTAGTTGCACATACAACGTGATTGATCATTGATGTTGCTTCGAATCGATTATTTAATTTTAGTAGTTTATAATTTATATTTAAATTTGCTTTGCTTTAAAATAATGTACCGTCTTGTCGTGTGTGTGTATTTGTTTTTTCTCCATCACAAAATGACTTTGGGCTTATATTTTTTTTAGCCCAAAAATGACAAAGTTGTCTTCGTCTTTTTTTTTATTTTCGTTTAAATTCAATCAAAACATACAATAACAATTTTCTAATTTTTTTTTGTTTTTCCATAGTGATTTTCATTTTATTTCAAGCATCTTTTTTGTTTCACTTTGATAATAAATTGTTCAATTTAAATTTGGTGTGAATTTTTATTTGATTTATACATACAAATAAAAAATTCGCTTAAATAAGTTATCATCTGATTTGGTTAAGTAGATTGATTGTGTGTTGCTTCTAATAGTTGTTTCATCAAAACAAGTTCCCAACCATCAGCATATGATTGTTTTCAGCTGGGATTTTATTTTTTTGTTCTTCGCAAACAAGGTTAAAAAAAAGTGTCCATTCAAAACATATAATTTGTCGATTTGCATATAAAGAATTAATTTTTATGAATTTGTTCTCAGAAGCAAGGAGGATACCAGCTATATCACACCACCATGAATTTCAATCAAAATCATTTGATTATTTGTTTTGGAGAATTCATACATAAAACATCGCGTTTATTATTAAAATATTAGATTAATTGGTCGTGGTATCCTTTGATGAACATATGAAAATGATTAAAGAAAGAACCAGCGATTTTGTTTTTCACCATTGTACAATAGAAAATAAAATGTTTACAAAGAAACACACACACAATCAACATCTGTAAATTAATAATAGTCAATAAATCGTTTCCATTTGAAAATGAAACGATGATTGAATGTTTTGGTGAAGAAATTGTTTAAGTAAGTGATGTAATTGATGAATAAACTAACATATTTAAGAATCTATATTTTTTTCTATAATTTGCATAAAAGTTAAATCCGTAAATGGCAAATACGAAAATAGTGATTTGATTTTTTTTATTAAATAATTTATTTTTTATTATTTTTTTAAATCATTTTAAACTCATTTCAGTTCTATATTCCTCCTTGCATATGTGTAATCTATTTTCTTTTTGCTATTTTATTCTCAACTGTCTTTTTTTCTACTTGCATGGAATAACAATAAGCAAGAGGATCGAATTCATTTCTTATAATTTTTTTTCTCTCGTTTGACTTTATAATTTCGGTAAAAATGAATTTTGCCACTCGTTTCGATTGAAAAAAAAAAAATAATAATATGTGTGATATTGTAGGAGACAAAATTGGCTCTGGAATTTTAAATATAACGACAATAATCGTGCATATAATTTGTTTTAATTCTCTTCAGTTATTTATTTCAAAAATAATTTTCTTTCAATGCAATAAAATAATGCTTGATTGAACTGTAAAAATAAAAAAGAAAATTATTAGGAACTAATTGTATATCTATCCCAGCAAACAAATTTGTAATGGTTTTAGTACATTCTAACGTTGAGAAATGAAACGTTCTGGCCCATTCTGGTGGTCATTTTCGTCTCAAATGGAACGGAGATTATATGCATAGTTTCCACGAATTCCAATGGAATGGATCCACTTGTTTCTTTCACTTCCAATAATATTTGATTTGACAACATAATGTGAACACAACCCAATACATTAAGTTTTAAATTGCAAATCTAACGATTCATTTGTTTATTCACGCTCAAATAAAAAAATAAACAATTAATTTGAGAAGAGATTTGCGTAATTTGATTTGAAATTCTGAAGAAGAACATTTTTTATACGTCATTTATTGCATTTATTTTTCTTTGTTTCAAGTGTTGAAATAGAATTTTGAATTTTCGAAATGCAACCGAATCTTTCTGACATTTTTCGGTTGACGCACACATATACGAACGATATTTGTATATATTAAATATGTGCTCTGCATTCAAAGCGTTCGCATCGTGTGACAGTATTGTTAGTATAAACAAATGCTTTCATATGATTTTTAGCATTGTTCTGTTTTACATTCACAATTCTAAAGTGACGCAGCAAAATATTTGAATTTCGTTATCAATATTGGAAGTATTTCACCACATCGTATAATCGATGTTCATATTGAGCTGATGGGATAAAGATTCCAATCGTTGCCTTTATAAAGGTATTAATACATCGAAATATTGTTCAAATTTAAATAGAGACTCTCTCATAATAAAATCAACTAAGGATAACGTGGAAATATTTTGGTTGGTATTGGTTATTATTAGTTGACAGTTTTTACAACGAGCTGACGACACCAAATATTGGCATCGAATGCATCAGAGTTAGCTGAGATTTCAACGAAGTAAGTCGCTTCATAAGAACTCGTTGTGGTTGTCATTTTGTGTGTTTCAGTCGATAGTTTACATAGTTTGTCGTATGAATTTCACAATCGAATGCAAATCATATTAATAATTGTTCCGTTGGTTTTTTTTCGATAAATTTTATGAATAAACGTACAATTGCATTTGATACAGCATTTTTTTGCGGTGATTGTAACAGTGTTGTTGAGTACAAAATAAAAATGGATTTTTTCTCAATTTTCATTAGAATCACAATGGCAAAAAGGCGAGGACCTAAAATTTTTGGCGGTGTTCCAAGAAAGAAAGCAAAACAAGAAGAAAAGAAAAAAAAAGGAAGAAAATGTCGAAATACGAACACGTAAAGACCCGCCAACTCGATATTTAGAGATGAATATGCAGATTACCTCGTCGGTCACCTTTATGGCGAATGCTTGAAAGCATCAAAAATATCGTATCTGGCGTCACTTTTATTGCTGTATAAAGTCAACGAGGCGTTTGATATCGATGATTTCGATTATTTTATTAAAACTAATGGAAAAAAAGAAATTCGTCAAATTTTCACCGCTATGCCAGACGAGTTTATTGAAATTGTCGAGGAATTGACTAACAACGAATTTGAGTGGCCATCTCGTGACCTGATGGGAAATGCATTTGAGCATATGCATCAACAATACCACCGGAGATTGCCAAATACATGTCGTTGCCGCCGCTAATTGTGTCAAAAAAGGGCTCACGACGCAAAACGTTGGACCGTTGCGTGAAAAAGTTGATCGACAGAGGTCTAGTAAATCAAGCAAATCTGCCAAAAGAATTCAAACCAGAGCGATTAGCGTCACCCAAAATGTACTATTGGAAAAACTGGCCGCCAAACTCTGTGAATGCACTTCAAATGGGAGACGATGATGCGAACACCAATGATCATCATCAACAACAACAACAACCGGAACAAGAACATAAATATCGAGAGCTGCGATTTACCATTGTTTGGCATCGAGACATTGTTGCGTCAAGGTGCATAATGTACAAAGGTACAATTTTCTGTATTAATTTATTTTGAATAATATTAACTAAAATTTATTGATTACAGCTCTGTATTTCATTTTCGATTTAACATTGATAAATTCGTTTGTGAGACCACCACAACCTCGAAGACCACCGTATCGTAAAAAACCACCGGTACGCAGACAACCAAGAGAAAATGCAAATGTTGCTCCAGTCCAAGTAAACAATAATGATCAACCAGCATCAAGCAATTGAAGAAAACAAAACATGTTAACTAAAATAGTATTTTGTGGCTTTGATTTGTACATAATATCTGAGATATTATGTATAAAGTATCCCATGGTAAGAATAATTTTACCAACTAATTGATTACAATTTTTATTGGTGCTGATTTTAAAGCTCTATTTTAATTAACATATTGATTTCAATTCAATGGAAATTATATGCATAGCTCTTTTTGTCTCTTTTTTTTATTTCATTATGACGTTAAATACGACTGAAACAACACACAACTGCAACCCCGCATTCGACCATCAATATATACCCCGATAATGGATAAATTTGCCCCAATATTCACAATAAATCGGGATATTCTTTTATTATCTAGAGAATTTGGATAAAATTAAACAAAAATTGTTGCAGTTGGGCCATCTAAATTTTCAAATTCGTAATTGTAATATATATATATAGATATATATATATATATATTGTTTGTAATAAAAAAATAAAACATCAAAATGAAATCGAAATTTTGGCTTTTTGTTTTGAAATTCTCACATTGGAGATGATTCCCTTTCATTATTACAATTCGTTCGATTCATGATTTTTGCACCCCGTGTTGTTTTGTTTCATTTCATTTGTTTTTAAGTCTTAAATTCATATTTACTCTCCCACCCCCGCAAGTCATATCAATCTGTCTTTATATGTCTAATATCATGTCAAAATAAGAGTTAATTCCTTTGGGCTGGAATTGTAAAGGCTTTGACTGCGTGCATTGGAGTAATGCAACACAATCCTCATTCACATTTAGTACTTATAGTACTGAAATTTAATAAACTCAGACACAAAATGCCGTAGGCAACGTCAACATTGGCGTAAAATTCTATTAAAATCCACTTAAAATGGGAAGAGAAAAATAAAATATTTTCATTTGCCGATATTTCATTTGACGACGGAGGCTCATTGTATCATAGATGATTATTTTGCAAGTCTACTAACGGAAACGAATCAAAAGATAGAAACTTTGGTTTTCTTTTTTTTAACAAAATCAATTTCTAGTTTTGCTTTTTTTTTTGTTTTATTTTTTCATCAATCAGAATTGAGTCAAGCGTTCGCCATTATCACGAATCTTCTTTTCTTTGTATATCCTTTATTATATTATATAACTTCAATACATTGATTCATGTCAAATAAAAACGAAAATGTCGTTGACTTGATTTCTTTTATATTTTAAAGTTAATTTTTTTTGTTTGTTTGTTTGATGAACTGCAGTCTTTTCTAGTGTATAAATATTTTGTTTTAGTTTGCATATAATACGTCACGATCATTCACAATTTCATCCATTTCATTTCGAAGAAATATTCCATTTTTATCCTCATTATAATGAGCCTTAAAATAGGAAGATGACAATAATTCGAAAGAAAGAAAAATCATACACACAATTCCTTCACAACCACAACTTTCGAACCCAAATTTACATCGAATCAAATAAATGTAAGATTTTTTTATTCAAATGTTTGTCCGCAAATTTCGAATTCTGAACGTATTTTTGTTGTGTTTTGAATTTTTATCATGTTAAATATTTATCAAATTAACCCAAAAAAATGCTTAAAACTATTATTTTTTTTTTTCATCTCTTCTTTTACTTATCTATTAATCATAGTGCATGGAATTGTTTGTTATTACATCTATGAAGCTAATAATAATAATACAATAATAATTATGAAAAAGAAAAAGAAAATAAAACTAAAAATGAAAATAAAATTAAAAATTAATAATTCGATTAATTGAATAAATTGTGTGTTTTTTACGACCTCTTTTACTCTCTATTGTGGTAGGTCATTGTATTTAAAATTCATCCACAGTATAGTCTATTGCCTGGTACTCGATTGCAGACGAATACAAAAAACAAAATATTCTTTATTCTACGTCTTCAAAAATTCCTTCAAAAATAAACTGAGAGAGAGAGAAAGAGAAAAAAAAGTTAAAATTGCGAAAAAAATAAAATTATTTTTGTTTTTATTTCAGTTATTATTCATAGTTAGATCTTTGATCTTATTACAAATTGAATTTCATTATTTACATAAGCAAACACATATATGTCGTCATTTAAAATATTCAGTTGTTTTGACTGGATCCAGTCACTGGATATTTTAAGCGTTTTGCATTCTTCGAAATATTTCGATATTTCAATTATTTCGCTTCATTTCGGATTCGTCGATTCAAAACTTGACTGCACATCGGAATTTTTTTGATAAATCGATGGCAAAACTTTGTGATTCTTTGATAAAATGTTCGGTGAAATATCGAACTGTTCTCTCATTTTTTTTTCTTTCTTTCTTTCGTGTTGTTATTGTTGTTGTTGTTGACATTATTATTTCTATTTTGATTTTAGTGTTGGATTATTTTTTATTTCATTATAATTACTACTAATTTTAAATTTATTTTTATCATTATTTTTATTATTATTGAAAAGGCTGCAAAGAGTTGGTGCTGCTAAAAAGCACATAATGATGGAAAATTCGAAACTGTTGCAGAGAAAAAGAAAACAATGAAATGATATTGTTCATGAAGTTCATTTCGAGCATATGATTCAAATTTCCCGCTGCATTTGAGCTTGTGGAAATCAGTTTGGCGTCGATAGTTTCTTTTTTGCCTCGAACTTAAGATCATAAGAACTAAGCAAAAGAAGCGACAACATTGTTTTTTTATTCATTGATCTATCAAATAATATTTACATTTCCAATTCTTATCAATTCAATCGCACTTTTGCTGAGCATACGCACGCACGCACACACACACACTCTCTCGCACACACACACACACACATACACACACACCAAAAGCGTTTGTTTTGTTTTTTTTTTATTAGAAAAATGTGAAACAGCTGTATCTTTAAAAAATTACATTATCGTAAAAGTTAAAGACTAAGTGATGTGTACCAAGTGGAATGGACTCGGTTTGTTAAATTATTTGTAAATTATCTTCATTCTTTCTATCTTTCAATTGCTGTGTGCGTGTGGTTTGATTTGTTTTTCATCGTCGTTTTTTTTCTCTGTTTTAAATTCTGTTTTTTTTTTTCAATTCAATTAAGACTGAAAGAATGCAAATATTATTTTCGATTTCAAGTTTCAATTGAATTTGGGCCATCAATCAAATGATCCTTTCTTTCTCCATTCATCACACATTGAGAATCGAAACGGGCTAAAGAACAAAAAAAGATGTTGTAACTACAGAATGGTTTCTACATTGATTTCATTGTTTCTTATTTAATACGCTCTAAACCGCATTGAATGGGGCCGTTTCCTCACCATATTGCTGCTTTTGCATCGAAATGTGTGTACGAATCTTCCATTTTGTTTTGGCATATTTTTGGTCACAGTGTGGTCGCCTAAATACTGGATAAAAATAATATTTCTCAGCTGTAAAGATCGATGTCATCGATACTATGCCGATATTTTCTTTTTTTTTTGAACATAGAGCCATGGCTTACACTCAAAGTATCGAGCAAACTGTTTGCTCTACTATATCACGATGTACTGCCACACTTCAAAAATAATAATTTTTTTCTTGGGCCAATTAGTGTGCTCACATTTCTGCTAAATTCATCTAACTCTTCTCATCGATGTTTGTTTTATTGTAATTTGGTTGTTTTTGTTTGTTGTTGTTTATTTGTTTTTGTTGCTAATTCAGTTGCTAATGTTGTTTGTGGTGTTTGAAATTATTTTGTGGCTATTTTGCATTTGTTGTTGTTATCTTATAGTTCGATTGCTGAATAATTATCGTGTATCTTCGGTATGCAGCAGTGATAATGACGTAGATGAAGGTGATGATGCTACGCAAACTAATGACGATGACGACGATAACGATGAGGGTGATGGTGATGTCGACTGACTATCTGTACTGCTGTGGAATTGTGATGAACCTTTTGACTGTGTCCCCGTTGGTACGCTACTGATACGGGTGAATAATTTCGCTAACGGATTTTGTCTGGATTTATTAATAGATGAGGCTACTGAATTGCCGCCGGATGACATTGTTATCGGTATATTCAATTCCTGGGCCGGACTATTCAATTTCATCACTGACATATTCAACTTTTGTACCGGCAAATTGATTTCTAATGCCGTTTTATTCGGCGGCGCACGAATGTACGAACGGGTTATTTCCGCATGCTGCAACGATAAGAAAAAAAAACAACAACAAATAAGTAAATAAATAATAATAATAAAAACATATGAGCTGTGATGTAATCATTAAATAACTACTTATAATCGATCAATCAACACAATCGATCATTCAATCTAATCAGTTTCAAATGCATTTGTACGAAAATATGTTTGTTTTGTCATAAAATCAGGTTGACGGTGTGAAGAAATTCAGTACATCTATAAATTACTTTACCGATTTGTCATCGTTTGCGCCTTTTAATGTTAAATCAGTTCGGTGAATTAAATAAAACAGCGCAACAGTATATTCATTAAATTTGAATTGGAATTGGTAGTAGGCAAGTGGATTGAAATCCATTTGTTATTTTTATACATATCATATATGGCATTGCGATAAATTAAAAACAAAAGGCGATAATAACAGTAAAAGTGTGTTTATCAGCACTTCGTGAAGTGTTTATCGCCGAAAATCCAATACTTTTGTTTTATGTTAATTCATTAAATTCATTTTATGCTCCGCTCAATCGAGTTGACGTATTTAATATTGTTCATGTCTCCGTAACATTTAAATTCCGGCCCATATTCGTATCTGAATGTCCACCAAAATTGGTGACTAGGCAAATTGCTTACCGTAAACTCTTAAGTGACTCACGACAAAACCGGAATTTGAATATTATTATATTGCATTGTTCAAAACTTACCGATTGTAAATTACTATAAGAATGGCTCCATTCACCGTCTGGCAAAGCGACATGGTGTGGACAACGAATGATCTCATCACTACATCGATGACAGTGATGCCGATGATGATGTATATGATGATGATGATGCTTTTCGGTCAATAAACTGTTGCGATTCTCCTGCTTACTGCTCAATATTGATGTATTGGCACCAATCAAAAGATCACTTTGCACAGAATCAGAACGCATTCGTCGACTGCAATTGTAAATTAAAAATATGTAAGAGATAGAAATAAATTATCGATTACGCACTATCAGCCAACACACAAACATATACACAATATGTAAACAGTTTAAAGGTTTTTTTACGGTGAAAGAACTTATGGTAAGCGTATTAAACTCATGTACTAAAATCAATTGTAATTGTTCATCAATTTTTTTTCAAATTATTACCGATGATTTGGTGGCGATCCTAAACCAACATCAACGCCGAAACGCTCCATTCCTGCATAACCTGACTGAACTGAGATCATCTGCAATGGAAATGAAGGAAAAGAAATTGTTCACAGATGAATTTATAATCAACATTTAAAATGAAAAACAACGAAACGACAGACGGAGAAAAATGTTCAAATAGTGCGTACGTATGTCTATGATATTTGTATTAATTCAAGGCAATCGGTGTGCGTTGAAGACTAGCGAGATATGTTATTGTTAAAATAAAACATTGTGTTAAAAAGTGATACATTTACAACTGATTCTGATAAAAACACCGAAATATTTCAACTGTTTCAACAAATACAATCGAAAGAGTGCGGGAGAGGTAGTAATTTAATTTGGTAATATAGAGAATGGGCTTGTCAAATTGAATGATAAACGAGGCATCTATAAAAGTACAAGAGCAAATCAACCAACGTATTTGAATCAATTGCTTGCCATTCATCTCAATCAATGTGTATTTGGAAAACTGATGATAAGAAGGATTGACTTGGCAAACGAAAAAAACGCAGACGATACATAATAAATACGAGCATCACACTCAAATCGACTAAAACAAATACAAGTGCATGAAAAATACTTTTACAAATTCACAAAGAAAAACAACACACAGACTCTTAAATGTCAAAAAAATTTACGGTCGCGGTATCTGTCTAATACTATTGACTTAATTCGGGGATTTTTCTTTCATTCCATGTATTGTTCTCTATTTTCTATTGAATATCTATGCCATGGCAATGTTTTTACATTTAATATTTTGAATTACAAGTACAGGTTTAATGGCCGATTGTAGCTTTTGGAATGTGTTTGAGAGCTTTCTATCTCAACCGAATGTTCTTTTTAAATTTTCATTTCCGAATTTTTATGTCTATATATTTTATTTTTTGAGGGCATGCATGTTTTTTATCTCTCTTTCTCTCTCGCAAAATATTTTCACGCTGACAATCTTTAATTTGTTTGAATGAAAGACCCTAAAAAACGAAATGAAATGAAACGATGATTGTGACGAACAGCACTTTTGATAAGAAGACCGAGTATGAAACATAAATAAACGCGTTCTGGTTGCTTTTCTCACATTTTCTGCTGATTTGCTATTGTACTTTATCAAATGTAACGAAACAACGATCACCAGACATCAAATAATGATAAATTAAACAGTACGTTTGCGCACGAATGAACGCCACGCAGCCTTTTCTTGCTATGTCTGACTTCTTTCTTGCTCTCTCTCTTGCACACAGTATAAAAAGATTGAAATTCCTACTTTGTAATATTCCTATCCTCGGGATGCGAAAGGCCGATATTTAATTTTATTTTGTCTTTCGGCGACTATGTTTTTTCTTCTTCTTCTTAATTTGTTGTAGTGGTTATTATTCTTCCGTTTTAGGTTTGTTTTTATTTCTTTTGCCTTATTTTGTTTTGAAACCCAGACTCATGTCGCTTGTAATACACCACAAATGTGTTTACTTTTTCTTAAATATATTATACAACGTTTAGAGAATTTTATTCAAACTTTTGTAAGCAAACGACTACAACTTTGTGTGTAAATGCTTTCGTACGTATCCACGCGCGCGTTCGCGCATGTGTGTATTTTTGTGAAAAAGAGAGAAAAAGAGAGAGAGAGAGAGAGTGAGTGAGTGAGGACAAAAAAACCTATTTTTAAAATATCAAACACATTACTACAATCATTCTCACTAAAATAAGTAAATAAAACGTTGAGAAATGCGGCATCGTCACGCTCAATCCAAGCAAAGTAAATAAAAAACATTTGCCACAATTTTCAAGTGGTTGCTCTACATTTAATGCTTTCCTCTCCTTATTTTCAGTTTGTTGTTGTTGTGTTGGTTGACAAAAGTCTTACACTGGCTGGCCATTGTCACTTAGGAATCTGTGGACCAGCATGTGGATTTAAATCAAAATAATAACAACAACAATATCAAGAACGCAGCTTTCTTTAATCACCTGTATTAAAGAATCAATTGGTTTATTTTTCTTGCTTTTCGATTTAAAAGAGAGAGCATTCCTTCAACTTGTAATTAATACCACCCACAATTGATGTGTCCAATTCAGCTAATTATCTTGAAGCTAATTGTTACTTGAGATTCGCTAACATTTTGATGTTGTTGTTGTTGTGATTCACTGTCTAGCCCTCGTATTGAGACGGCTTTATTTTATTTAGTTCATACTTGAAATTCAATGGATTTCTTCATTCTTACATTTTAATCTTCATATTTTCTTCTTTTTTTTCTTCGATGTAACAGACTTTGTGAAAATAATAAATAATAATCCTTAATCTACTTACGGGTAATGGATGTTCTGCTTCTGGAGTAAAAATTGTTTGATTTTTTGAATCAATAGTTATAGATGATAATTTTGCTGGTTTTCTGTTGCTGCACAGGCCAACTGCTCTTCTCACGCGAACAATCGCAATGATACTCAATTAAATGAAATTCTACACTGGTTAAATGTTGTTTTTGGTCACTATTGTTGCACGAGACACAATGGATGCGCTTTAGTTGTAGTTGATAATACTTTTTTTTATACGATGATCGTATGCATTGATATATATATAAACCAGCACAATACCGAATAACGAAATAAGGTGTGATTTAGCTAACGTCAAAATACGAATCACGACTGTTTACATCAACCTGCAATGGAATTCGAAACAGACAAGTTCGGTTAAAAGTTGCTCATACAGTTGGTAGTTTTATATATAAATATATACATAGTGTGAGAGTGAGAGGGAGGAGTGTATGTGTGTGTGTTAGTTTTATGTGTCTGATTATATGGATATTTCAATGCATTCGGCGTCGCTAATGTTGATAATTAATAGCTTTATCAAATTGGTTCGAGTGAATACACGCGTATACCACTGTCCAGCTATTTTGGTTTGTGCAGCAGCCAAGAGGTCAATTTCGTGTTGGTTTTGAATGAGAGGCACATGACATAAAAGCCGCTTGCAATCAGCAATTTGAAGCTGATTGATTTGTCTGGATTGTATTTGAAGCCAAAGTCTACAGCAACGACGATACTCATTATTTTTTTTTATTTCTGCCTCTATTAAATTACATTCACTCACAAAAAAAAGAAATGTCAAATGTCATGCGAACGCGAATTCATTTATTTTTGTACAACCGCTCTTTTAAATTGGCCTATAGAGTAGTTATTAGTTCTATTTGGTTCACATATGAATTCCAAAATTGTCTAACGTTCTCGCCATGAACTCCGTTGGTATTGGCATAACCCGTGAATTATTTCGGACAAAAAACTCAAACGAACAAAGATCGTTTGGAGGCGTCGTTCAAATATATTGAAATGTTTCCATTTTATTTCAATGATCGCAACCACATTTTTTCATACACTTTTTAAATTAAAAAAAAAAAAAAAATATTTATATTTTCCACATTTACGTAACTGTAGGCTACTCAAAATGTTTTTTCCAATATATCTCTGTATATTTCCCCCTTTTTATGATAATCCGAAGGGGTTTGGTGCATATGTCTCATGAAATTCTGCTGATTTGTATCACATTTTTTGATCGAGAACACCGAATGGTTGTCATTTTGTGATTCAAGATTGTTTTCAATCAGTGAAATAATCATCAAAGAAAAGTATAATTCCACAAAATTGTTCAATCAAATGCGTCTAAATGAATCGTTTTTTTTTTTTTACCAAGATCGTTCAATAACGATGCAATTAAATGACAACCGTCTGAGATCATAACATTTGAATATTTCTCAAGGACTAAACAATTTACTTGTGCCGTTGAATTTTAACTCACACACATACACACACGGATCTAAAGTCAATGCAATGAAGTAGTAGCGCGCACAAACAAAATAAAATAAAATAAACAAACCTACGTCGATTGAGATTTATTGAAATTACAAAATTTCGATCGCACAAACAATAACACAAAAAAAGGCGTTTATTCGAATAAAATATTTTGAAAAATGAGAGAGAAAAAACTAGATCCCACTTTGTACAATACTGGAATTAAAAATTGAAAAGAAGACGAACACAGAAAGCAATGAAACATGTATGAACGCAGTTATTTAATGGAGAACAACAAGGAATAAATAAACAAATCGACGAGAAACATTCAATAAACAGGAGCAGCCAGTCGATGTCTGGCTGCTACGTAAATGAGTCTGTGTGTATCTTTTTCGTTGTATTTGTACCAATTGCATTTCGTCTTAATGTTCGTTATCGGCGAAAATATTCATATCAATTTTTATTATGTAGCCGTACGCGTAGAGCAATTTTCGGTGTCGGCGTTATGGCTTTGGGCTTTTGGCTGTGTCTATGTATAGAACGAATACAATAATGTGCATAGATCGTTGTGGTCGCCGTTGTCGCTGCCGTCTAACGCTTGGCTATATTATCAAAATGTTTGAAATTCAAACGTATACGTCATTCAGTATGTCGGCGGTATGACTATAAAGTCTGTGCACTCACTTCAATAAAAGTCGAACAGAGAATATCGAGCTGACTGTAGCTAGCGCATGATGTCGTACGATTTGGTATACTTTATTTATATATATATTACATATACTCATACATTCATATACATATACTCATACATATATAGCACACACGCGAAATTTCTTTTGCTCACTGTCTGCGGCAGTTGCACCGTCAAGGTCAAATCTTTGTTTGTCTGATTTTTCACTTTGAACACAGGCACGCACACACAAAACTCTCTTTCTCTATCCATCCCTCTGTAGCCATCTCTTTTACACTGTCTGTCTGTCTGTCATTTTGGGTGCTACTTGATATTTTCATGAACATTCCCAGATTCGAAATAAGTATTTGATATAAGCGTCGATACTTCCATGTCGGTTTGCATTGTTTTTTTTCTTCTTTCGCCTTCTCCTTTTTGCCGAATACATGTCTCTCTAATTATTCGTCATCATTTCATTTGATTTGTGTTGAAGATTCATTCTATTTGCATTTTCAATTACTCTCTCGGCCGCATAAAATTGATGGAAGCGACCGATTGTAGAAACGGCGAGTGGCTGAGTATTTGCCATTTCGAAAGCGAACGCAAAAAAAGGAAAGATATTTTACCAAATTTTGCTCAAAATGAAATACCAATAAATCGCACATACATGCGAATTATAAAAATAAAAGAAGACTAAAAAAGACGAGATGTAACGAGATTGAGCATACGTGTAGGTAAGGACAGTACATAACATACAGTTACTCCATACGTCAATAAATCGATTTAAAATTTTGCAGAGCGTGTGTTCCTCTTCATCTGACGCACAAAGGCCTATATTTATCATTACACGAGTGAATATACATTGAACAAACAATAAAAATGTCTACGAGCAATTTGCGGTAATTTTTGTCTCTATTGTGGCTTTTGTCTCTCTCTCTTACTCTACTTCCCACCATCCAAATCTGAATTTCTGCTGATTTTGTAATTTCCCATAGTTATTGGCGAAAAAGGCCCTACCGATTGCATGGCTAAGCGCCGAATATCAACGTGAAAAATGTTCGAATTGATTCGAAACTTGGCCGCTCTTTGTCACTTTTGTTTCATTTTATTTTTATGTCGATTGTGGCTGATGTGTCTGTGCGCATCTCAAAATGTGTGTGTATGTGCGTGTGTTTTGTGTTATCATCTGAGATTGCTGACATAAAAACAGATAGGAAAACGAAGTCATGATTTCTCTAGTTCTCTTTGTAATCGAAGAGCGACAAGCGAGCGATTGTTGGTGACACAAAGTGATAACGGGCTCAAGGGAGCCCCGAAAAAAAAGAAACCGAAAGGAAAATAGTCCGACGATACTAAAACCAATAATATTTATTCAATTGGCTGGCGTGTGCTCGCGTTTCATTATCATCACAATCGTAAATACAACGGTATCATCACCTAGTATTTAAGCAGACACACTTAATGTACGTATGGTCGTGCTTCTACACATATGAATACATTATATTTTGTACGCTTGTGTGTATGTGTGTGCACGATGCCGCTCTTTTTTCCCCATTTTCGAGTGTCTGTCTCAGCGACAAATTTGGTGCCTCGTTTTTGCCATTATCGCGTTGCGTTGCTTGTTATTACTCTTGTCATTGTTGCTAATACCGCATTTGTTGCTGATTTTTTTCTTCTTCTTCTTCTTCTTCTTCTTCTTCTCTTTTTCGTTGACTTTTTATTCACTATATTCTTAGCTGCCGCCGTACAATGTTAGACCGCTACGATTTATTGTTATGCTGTTGTTCGTGTCGTTTCTCTATTTCACATATACGTAAAATAGTGATTCTCTCTCGATGACATAATATATATATATTTTCATGTCTCGCACATGTACGAGAAAGGACGACGTTATTTAAATAAAAAGTCATAAAAATGCTTATCTGTCTCACGTTTGACTATTCCACTCATATATTTTATAGCTTGACGTATTTGATAATTTGCACCGATGCTTGGGAATGTCAAACGCAAAACTTTTCAACGAATATAGTTACCGACTATTAGTCAGCGAGTTGTCTTAGTGATTTTTTTTTTTATTCTTGTAAATAATTTTATTGCATTTGGATCAGTTTTTTTTACAGCTGATTCATATATTTTACTTTTTTGCCTTTCCATGCCCACAATTTATTAACGTTCTTTGATTTGATTTCATCCGGAAAAATCTGATGCTAATTTTATAGTTAAATTATTACGAAAGAAGTAAATCATGTGAAGAAAAATAGTTTCAGTAGTGCGGCTTGTTGCCACGTAAAAAAAATCACATAATCGAAAGTTGTTTTCAAAACAAAAATAGCGTTGATTTTTTTTTTTGAAACTAGCATATTTCAATGAGTTTGCGTTCCTTTCGATTTCAATACTGATTCTTTTTCGATCTTTCTATCGTGTTTTTCTTTGATTTTTATTTTCGTCTGGCGATTCTTTTTTATGTTGCTGTTCAATTAGACCAATTAATTGAGTCGTGCTTGAGATCGCATCTCAAATAAGCTTAAATTGATTTAGCGAGCCATCGATCTATGATTGACATCAACGCGCTCCCACTTATAGATGCCGGCACATCTCATTTACACATTTTGCAACATTTTATTCGAACATTCATTGTAATTGAATGCGGTTCGAATGGCTTCTATTGAAACATTTCGGCGAAGAAAAAAAAATGACGCAAATGAGTATTGCTCATTGCATGAAATAAATAGTCATACTATTCACCTGTCAGACGAACATGATTAATGTATATGCAGACACCAGACACGAGGCATAATCTGGCCCATATGTCAGGGGCATCCGAAAAAAGCGCACAAATTGAAATCGAAAGCGACAAAAAAAACCACACACTGAATGAGGAAAAAAAGAAGAAGAAGAACACGGAAAAGAAAAATAAAATGTCATACAAAACACGAGTTGAGCGTAGCACGAATGGCAGCGCCTTAATGGTTATGAAATATAAAAATTAAAGACAGAAGAATTTCGTTTCTATTTCAAGATATTTTTTGTGGTTTTTTCTTGATTCCGCTTGTACATCGATGATGTAAAGCGTGAAAAGAAGAATATTTTCAAATAAGAAATTGATGTGAACATTCATCTCATTGACGTGCGCTGAACACCATAATTTTTTTTTCTTCTCTCAACTGAGTAATACATTCACGGATGGACAATCGTTGATAGTGA